TTTTTTTAATTCCATTTCTCCCTTATAGGAAACTAGTTTTTCTAACTAGTGTACCTCCAAAAAAAGCTAGAGACCCCTAAATTTTACTGTAACAGCTATAGTAGGTGGTGTTTACTGTGTACTAACAGTCAGGAACTGTGCCTGGGGCTTCACATTCACTCTGTCTAATCTGAACAATTCTAGGATAGGAATTAATTTTCTTTTATCATAAAGAAAAGCCGCATATGCACAAAAGAGCTAACACAGGCCTGAGACTGCTGTTTTTTCAAAGGTGTCCTTACAAGGCTGGCCCTTGGTTGGTGTCTAGGAACTTGGATTTCAGGAGATTTCTACCATTCCCTTATAAGAATGGCTCACTCTGCCTCAACAATGTGATTTATGCTGAATGTCTGCTTTCTTTCCTGAAATTTGGAATTCTGGTACATGGTAGCAGAGAATGCCTACACAACCATCTTCCAATAAAGACTCTGGTCACTGAGTTTCTAGAGAGCTTCCATGATAGACAACACTTCAATATGCTGTCACAACTCATTGTGAGAGAAATTAAGAATGTTCTATGTGACTCTACTGGGAGAGGCCTTCTGGAAGTTTGCACTTGTTTTCATCTAGATTTCGCCCCATGGGCCTTTTCCTTTCACTGGTTTTGTTTTGTATCTTTTCATTACTATAATAAATCACAGCCAAGAATATGCCTATATCCTGAGAACTGTGAGGCCTCTTAGTAAATCACTAAACCTGGGGTTGGTCTTGGTGATCCCAACACACAACTCAGAAATGTTATGTAATTATAAAATAAGCAAAGCTTGTTTATAAAAATATGCTGAATAAAATAAATTATCTTAAACACATTTTTAATCCACATCCCAATTCGTTACTAAAACTTTTCTTTATAAAAAATAATTTAATGTAAAGCATTCAAAGCTCAAAGATATCACTCTTAAACAAGTATAACCTTTACTTATAATTAACAGAAGCTAACATATTGTTTACTATGAACTAAGCACTGTGCTAAATGCATTTATATGCATACCTTATTTAATCCTCACAACAAGACTATAAGGTAGAGCCATAATCATCTCCATTTTACTCATAAGAAAAATAAAGCACGAAGAACTTAAGAAACTTGTCATGGTTTCCCTAGCATGCATCCAAATCCAAATCAGTCTGACTCCCAAGTCTGTGGTGTTAATTACAATGTTTATATCTCCTCCCGTGTAAAACAATAAAAAAAACAAAACATACCCCCAAATTACCTACTTCTAACTCACTTTTTAAGCTATTATTCCCCCATAACTGTCCATCCTTTATAATAAAGAGTTGGTCATAATACAGGCATCCCAAATCATCCCTTATTAGATAAAATACGAACCATTAAAAAAAAACCACACAGAATTTTAAGAAATATTTTAAAGTAAGTCCTGCATAACTCCTGGCACATAGCAGGCATACAACTTTCCAAGAATGTGGATATAGTTATCTCATTCTTTCCAATGGCAGCATCAAGCTTTGCTCCTCTATAGGAGTGAATCAAAGTACAGTAGTCCCCCCATTATCCATGGTTTTGCTTTCTGGTGGTCAACAGAGGCCCACAAATACTAAATGGAAAATTCCAGAAATAAACAATTCATTTTAACTTGCAGAACATTTGGAATAGTATGATGAAATCTTGCACCATCCCACTCCCTTTTGCCCTTGATGTGAATCATCCCTTTGTCCAGTGTCTCCACAGACTTCCCACCCATTAGTCACTTAGTAATCAGATTGTGATGACTTCAACTGTCCTGGTGTCAAAGTGCTTGTATTCAAGTAACCCTTATTTTACTAAATAATGGCCCCAAAGCACAAGCGTAGTGATGCTGGCCAATTTGAATATGTCAAAGAGAAGCTGTCAAGTGCTTCCTTTTAGTAAAAATGTGATTACAATACAATTTGAGAGATCACATTCACATAACTTTTATTAGTTTAATGTTATAATTGTTCTATTTTATCATTATAGTTGTTAATCTCTTACTGTGCCTAATTTATAAACTTTATCATAAGCATGTATACATAGGAAAAAACAATATATGTAATGGTTTGGTGCTGTGGTTGCAGGCATCCGTTGGGGGTCTTGAAATAATATCCTCCGTAGGTAAGAGGGGACTACTGTATACTTAATTATCCCCTCTATTGGAAGTCATTCAGAGTGTATGCTATTATAAGCAATGCTTCAGTGAATATCAACGTACATGTCTTTATGCACTCATGCTAGTACTTTATAGATGAATTTTCCTTGAAGTTGGATTTATCATAGATTCACAATTTTTATGTAGTTAAGTATAACAATCTTTTGCTCTATTGCTTCAGCCATTGGTGTCATGCTTAGAAAGGTCCTCCCTACCCTAAGAGTTAAATATATATTCTCCTATTTTTTTCCTATTTTTTATGGTTTTGTTATATTTATATCTTCATTTAATTTACATCTTTATTTGTATCTTCAATACACATGTAACTTATTTCTGTGAATGGTGTAAGATAGGAATCTAACTCAACTTTTTAAGTTAGATGAGGTTATCGATCAGTGAAAAAAGAACAAGCACACATGGCCGTCATAAATTCTTGAGGTAATTAGTCGTGAACAGATACCAATCTGAAATTCCACTTGGGTATATTTTTGGACTCTATTTAGTTCATTAATCTACTTCTTCATTTCTAGGCTAGTGCAACATAATTTGGAGAAAATTCACACTAAAAGGTAAGCTTCATGAGGGCAAAACTCAGACCACCCTTGATAGCTGCCTGCTTGTCTCTGGTTCACTACTATATTCTCAGAGGCTAGACTACAGCCTGTCATATGATAGAAACTTAATGAATATATGTTGAAAGAAATAAAGGCACAAATCTGGAGCATTACAAAACTCAATTTCTTTTTTTTTTTTTTTTTTTTTATCCTCACCCGAGGATATTTTTCCATTTTTTTGTACAGATAGAGTGGGAGGGAGAGAGAGGAAGGGAGAGAGAGAAACATCGACGTGAAGGGACACATCGAGTGGCTGCCACCCGCACGACCAACCAGGGCCGGGGACAAACTGCAACCGAAGTACGTGCCCTTAGCGGGAACCGAACCCGGGTCTCTCCGGACCGCAGGCCGACGCTCTAACCACTGAGCCAAACTGGCCAGGGCAAAACTCAATTTCTTGATTCTGCTTTTCTCCTTATTACAAAATAGAAACCTCAGATTTCTGGTTGGAAGCCTTTTTAGATTAAATAGGCTTAAAACACTGTTCTTACCCTCCGGCTAACATAATAAAAAATCACTGAAACACTATCATCACCCAACATGTGGGGGGCATTATGTTGGATGCAAGGGTCACAAAGATTTTATATAGGATATACTCCCTGCTAATATTCTGATTGGGAAGGGAAAGTATACATACACACACAAATACAAACATGTTAAATAAAATAATTATATAAAATATTAAGTGCCAAACAGATAACACAGAAGATAATACAGACCATAGAGTGAGAGGATCGGGCTTCCCTAAACCAGTTTTCTTATCTGTAAATTAAACAAAATAGCAATTCCTACTTCCTAGAATAATTCAAGATTTAGACTAAAAGGCAGTCACCAAGGATGGTCCTAAAGTGTTGCATTAGAGTTAATCCTCAATAATAATAACCATTTGGAGAGCTTTCATTATGAGTTTTATAAGCTTTCATGTATTAACTCGTTTAATTCTCTCAACAACCCTAAGGTGTAAGAATTATTACCACTCCACGCCACGCCCCATTTTAATGATTAGCATACTTAACTTTGATTTGCACAAAGTCACACTGTAAAGTATGAAGTTCAAACCTAAAGATTCTGGGTTCGACTTAACTACCACACACAAGTCTTAGTACACCTTAAAAGAGTAGAATTTAGACAAGCAGACAGATTGTTGGAGACACTCATCTAACTGCTTAGAACAGTAAATTGACAAGTTTGGCTAAGATATTAGTTAAGTAAGGGAATCAAGTTTGATTACATTATTAACCTTTTTTAGAGGTGCTTTTCCCTCTAATACAACACTTTTCTCATTTTCACCATTATTAAACTCATGAACTTTTTGACAGAAAAAAAAAATTATTTTCTATTATAAATGGTACTACCCTGTTGCCAGAGCACAAGCTCTGGCCTTGATCCTTCGGGGATCTTGTGGCTGTGTGGTTACCGCGGATCACTTGTGAAAGAAAGAAATAAAAGAAGACAACCCAGAGAAACCTAGTTGGAACTGATCCTCAAAATCTGCAGCTTCGAACTCCGAAATCTTTTTTCCCCTTCGCTTCACGTGCCCTGACTCTGTGGGTCCTAACAGCTCAGGGAACTTCCTCTGGAACAGGTCAGAAAACGATTGCCTAGGTAACGGCGTCGCCTTCCAGTCAGCTCCAAGCACCGAGGCTCTGAGGCCGCGGGCTCCTTTACTCCTGATTCTAGAACCAACTTCGTCGCTACAAGGCCTTGGGTCAAACGCCAGGCCTTGCGCCCCAAGTCCGTCCCTCCCTGGACCTCAGTTTCCACACTAATCTCCACAGAGAGGACGAGGAGCAGGCCTATTCTCCCGTGAAGAGCTTCTACACGCCGGGTCACTTTCCCCAAAAGTCTGGAGTCCCAGCCTCTTGGTACCTCGGGGACCTCTTCTTCCCCAACCACCACCGCAGGCCCGTTACCTCTTCCCGCTTCGCGTTCCTCCACCAAAGCCCCCTACTCCCCACTCCGCACTCCGCACCTCAGAAGCGCAGCGTTCCCGGAGCGGCGTGCGTCGCAACGCGGGAAGGGGTCTAGGGGAGGGGCCAGGATCCTGGAGCCAGGGGGCGGGGCGTCTTTCGCCGGGAAGCCAATCAGCACGCGAGGTGTTCCCGGTGGGCGCGCGCGTTGAGCGCGGGGCGGAGTCTGGTAGCTGCGCCGGTGGCTGCGAGCGCCGCTTCTCAGGCTGAGGTGGCAGATGGTCCCGAGGAGCAGCGAAGTCGGAGCCGCAGAGAACGATGAATGGACCCTGGTACAGCAACAGTCGCGAGCGGGTTCTCAAGTTAGGCGAGAGTTTTGAGAAGCAACCGCGCTGCGCCTTTCACACTGTGCGCTGTGAGTGAGGGCAACCCTGGGAAAAGGGGGGAGCTCTGGGTATGGGAGTTTGGAGGCGCAAACGTCTCCGTGTTCCCACAGACTCCCTTATTCTGCTGGAGAATGGGATGCCCTGTGCGATCCACTGCCCAGCCTGGAATCTGAGGGGGGTCGGTGGAAGGAGCCAGAGCCCAGCAGGTGGGGGTCAACCCTGGGCAGAGAGATTTACGTGAAACCAACAGGCGAAAGGGACATTTTGTGAAGGTCTGCAGGAGTGACTGTGGAGACAGACTGACTGCGGGGTGATTCCGAGGTGGGAAAGGAAACAGTAAGGCTACAAGGGGAAGGGAGCAAAGGACTGAACTTAGGCAAAAGGAAGGGAATGCCTGGAGAAATTATCCCTTTTTTCTGCACTTTGTCTGCTTGGCTTATTAGGGTGGCTAATTAGGGTTCTTATGTATCTTCTGGGGGGAGATTCTGAACCATTCCAATAATCTGCATCTCTTTTGAATTCCTGATTATCAAATACTGATTATCAAAGTATTGGAGGGTGTGTTGTTAATTTCTTTTCTTTTTAAGATAAGCATTTTTTTAAATTGATATTAGAGAGAGAAAGGGAGAGGGAGAGAGAGATAGAAACTTGATGAGAGAACATCGATTGGCCACCTCCTGCATGCCCCCCACTGGAGATCGGGCCCACACCTGGGCATGTGCCCTGGTGCATGGGTCTAAGCTCAACCACTGAGCCACACCGCCAGGTTATTTCTTTATTGGAAGGATATTTACCTCCCTACGACTTCTCCTTTTGATTTACTCGTGGCTGTCCTCTGGAACTAGTTTTGATAAATTATTCTTTTTTATGTTGTTGAGGTAGAAAAGGAAGCTCTTATGCTTTTGTAGTTGGATGGTAGATTTCAGGAAGGGAAATATAGCATATTATGATTTGATGTGTAAAACATTCATTCTTTGCATAATAGCCCTCATAGAATTATGGAGCGGAAAGGAAACTTTGAGATCACTGAGTCATAACCTCTTATTTTCCTGTGCCAAAACTGTAAAGTAGGTAATTTTTCACTTCCTTTCCCCAGCTGTGCCCTTCGTAGTGTCTAGTGTCTCACCATTCCACCTTTGTCAGTCATTCTGCCCCTAGAATGTCCAGAAATCTTTATGGTTTTTACTCTGAGGTGTTCCATACTTCAACCAAAACATGCAATTAAAACTTACATTCCCCAAAAGTTTACTTACATTTTAGACAATCTAATTATAGTAACTCACAGTAAGATATGAAGAACCAATAGGTTACTAATTTTCCAAGGATATACTTATGTTTTATAAAGGGTTTTGTTAAGCAAAATTAATATCCAATTGATGGAATAAATTGGGGAGATATTTGTGAACAGAGGCTCTTAAATAGTGTCTCCTGAGTATTCTTCTTCTCCATATTCTGTTGTTCTGAGCTCCCCACGGTGAGACAGTAAGGGCTGGCTATAGAGTTTTTTGCCTCTTCCCTCCCATTTTACAAAAGTATGTGTAGTTCTTATCTGGTTTCTCCATGCCTTTCTCTCAAATAATATCGCCTCTCTCCTTTCCTCTTCTTTCTCAGGTATGCAATAGTCTTTATTTTTCAAATTATAAAATTTAAGATTATAAAAATTTGCTGAAGAATATATTTTTATATAACTTGGGCATATATTCTCTTTTTAAGGGTGTTGACCCCCAAATTAAGTGAATAAAAATAGCTTTTGAAAACCACTTTGCAGGTGCTTATAAACCTTTCATTTATAAAAGTTCTCAAAATGCTGGAATTGTGTCATAAGAGTCTGAGAATCAGATGATCCACCTACAAGAATTAAAATAAACAAAACAACTACCATAGTAAACCCAGATGTGTGAGTACACTCTTAGTCCTATGGAAGATATTAGAAAGGTTTTCAGCCCTTAGTTTTATTCTTATTGAAGCAGGTAGAATCTTTCTAGATTTATTTATATAAAACCAGTTATTCTTGAGGATAGATTCATTTTCTATATGATCCTCACTTTTAAGGACTCATAGTGAAGGAAGGAAACAATAGAATAGGTGGTCTGACTTTCATACACTAAGCTGGTGAGCCTAATTTATAACACTCAAGTCATTGTAGTCTGGGAGAAAGTAACATTCTGTCTTTATATAAAGGATAATTATGACTGTCAAGTATGCTTTGGAAAAACTTGTATGTGAATTTTGGCCTCTACCACATATTTGTTATGTAAAATGTGATAATATCTAAATTTTAGATGTTTTGTTTTGTTTTGTTTTCTATTAAATAAGATAGCGTAAACAACCTAGCACAGTATTTAGTGCATGGTAGAGAATAATAGTAGTTATCATTATTCTCATGTGTATGAGGAATGCTAATGAATGTAATTTACTTAAACTTTCAAAAGCATTTATCAAGGTTTGGCAATAAAACTATCAAAAAGTTATTCTGGCATGTGGTCGGGAAGACATGGGATGTTCTATAAATGACAAGCCGAAATGCTTAGCAGCAGATGTTTTACTGGGCAGAAGAGTTTGAGTTACAGGACCCATCACAACAAATTTTGGATTTGGGCTAGTCCTAGTTTTCCAATGTATATACAAATAAGGGAATAATCATTGAAATTTTTAAGTTTGTAAATACTGTCACTCTTTGTTGTCACGAAATGATGAGCTCATGGGCATTGACTACTGGGAGATTGAGGTCAAGTGAAGCCACTTTCAATGAAGTGGTTTTTAAGCTTTTGTGTGAGAAAATATTGGAAAATACAGTAATGAAAAAGAAGATTAAAATTATATTTAATGTTCTCTGATCAGTGCGGTATATTGGCAACAGTGTGGGTTTTGGAGTTAGTTGAATTAGTTCAAATCTCAGGAAGTAAATTTATGACATTAATTGTGGATTCTTTTATGAAGATAATGACATGTGATATTACAGCCAAAACAGTCAGAAAAGTGATCAACAATGACAGAAAAGTGTTAAGTACAAAGTTGGAAATGCTTTTCTATTCTTTATGTAATATAAGTAATTGTATTATAAGCCTGAAGAAAATAACATAGATGAAGGAAATCCAGAGAGAATAAATAACAGTAAAATTGGTGAAATTTCCAAACTAAGGAGAAGTGAAAGAACATATAAACTTTTTAGTCTGGAATCAGCAATTTACGGGAGAATGAATTTGACATCTGGAAGCATATGCAAAGCATGAAGATGAAATTATTCAACAAATTCTAAAATTCTAGAACTATACTTAACTCCTTGAATCTCAAAAAGTTGTATACTTAAAAAAAACCTTGTTGTTTAAGGGTAAATAAAAGACAACATTACTTAAATAACAAAAGTGAAATTTATTAATCCTAATAGAATAATTAGAAATGCAAATAAGTTCAGAATAGTTTTGATAGACTTGTTGATTTTAAGTTCATGCTTATCATTAAGTAAATCTACAGATATTTTGAGTACATCTCTGTCTTTTCAGTTATCTCAGATACTATAGGCATTTATGGATAGGCTTCAGGGGCTTATAAATCTTTTGAAATTATACAGTATTTGATATGTGTATTTATGTACGTATTTTTGTGTGGATAGAATCTGTAGCCGGTCTATAATTTTCATCAGATGCCCATAGGGACTTATGACTATCCCTTATCTCCTAACACCACCCCACCAACACACACATACACAAAAGTTAAGAACTGTAGATATAAGGCAAAGAGGTTGTATAATATGAGTGGACAGAGTATATGTGGCTTGAGTTCCTGACTTGATCTTTTACTGGCTTATTACAGAAGAGTGCCCTACTGGTAAAATATGGGTCAGAATATTCAATTCAAAGAGATGTAAAAATAAAAATGATGATTTATTATGAAGAAAAATAATGTTTTAAACACTAAAATGGAGGTTCTAACAGTCTATAAGCTGAATTTTTTAGATAATTTGACCCACACAGTTAACTATTTACAGCTAACATGAATTAGTTATAAATACCTAAAAAATCAAGATTTTTTAATACAAAACCTGGATTACCAGCTTATCTTTAAAAAACCAAAAGATAACTAAGCAATACCTAGTGCATATTCCTTTTGACAGCGGTTGGCTGGAGCCGAGTTGTAGTTCTCCTCTTGGAATTGGATTTATTCATTCTCTGGGTCACTATGGTTCCTGCAGGTTTGCTTCAGTGCCTTGGGTTACCTGTCTGACTTCAAATCATTATTTAATGGTAGTCAAATGACAGTCATACCTCCCAGTATTGGTCTTTATGTCACTGTCAGAAAAACATGGGAGGTCAGAGGGCCATAGTTTTACTCTTGGATGTAATTGCTAATGTTATGAATATTTATTATAGAGAATTCTTTGTCAAATATTAAGTAATAGGTGCCCTCTATGAGAACAGAAGCATACTAATGAAAAGTACAAAATGAATATGGCAATGTCTACCCTAAAGAAATTATAGTTTTGAAATAAAGATGAATCTAATCCTCAGGAAACAATTAGAAGACAAACCTCTACACATAATTTAACTTAAATTAGTTTATACTTAAAAACAAGTTTGGAGGTGGTTCAGAGAAGGGTTAACAATATGAACCAGAGTCAAGTACAAAGATCTCCTGTATACCCATTATATTAAAGGCTAGGAGCTGTGCTAGGAGCTGCAATTTTGGAAAAATTCAAGTATGAGGCATTGTGCTTTAAAAGTTATGGAGACTAGCCCTGGCCGGTTTGGCTCAGCGGTTAGAGCGTCGGCCTGCGGTCCTGAGAGACCCGGGTTCGGTTCCCGCTAAGGGCGCATACCTCGGTTGCAGTTTGTCCCCGGCCCTGGTTGGTCGTGTGGGTGGCAGCCACTCGATGTGTCCCTTTCACATCGATGTTTCTCTCTCTCTCTCTGTTCCTCTCTCTCCCTCCCACTCTACCTGAACACAAAATGGAAAAATGTCCTCGGGTGAGGATAAAAAAATAAATAAATAAAAGTTAGGGAGACTTGCCCTGGCTGGTTTGGCTCAGCAGTGAGAGCGTCGGCCTGCGGACCAGAGAGTCCTGGATTTGGCTCCCGCTGAGGGCATATACCTCTGTTGTAGTTTGTCCCCCCTGGTTGGGGTTATGTGGGTGGCAATCAGTCGATGTGTCTCTCTCACATTGATGTTTCTCTCTATTCCCTCCTCTCTCCCTCCCACTCTATCTGAAGATAAATGCAAAAATGTCCTCCGGTGAGGATAAAAAAAAAAGTTATGGAGACTTGACTTGGGGTGGTGACCACACCATACAATGTAAAGATGATGTGTTGTAGAATTGTGTACCTGAAATATGTATAATTTTGTTAACCACTAAATTTAAAATAAATAACTAAATAAATATTACAGTCCAATAGGACATGTCCACAAAGCGTTAAATAATTTCAGGTAATATAATATATGTTAGGTTTTGATGAGTGACATGGTAAATGTTATAGAAGTGGATAAGAATTGAGATTTTTGAAAGTAGGGAAAGGGCTAAACACAGAGAGCCCTTCAGAGAAGAGGGAACTTGAAATAGGATTCAACTTCTAAAAGAGCTAAAGCACAGAGAAAAGAGGAAGGATGAACTTTAGGTACTTTGATAGTTAAGCCTTTTGTTAACTGAAAGCTAGTTTGTCCTAAGCAAGAATGGAAGATGTCTCTGAAAAGATACTATGAAAGAAGACATAGTTATCTTCTCTCTCCACTGATGTTAATATCAGTGAAACTGATGTCAGAGGTTGTTGGCCAACCTCTCATCTTTATTCTAGCTGGATTTTGTGGTTTTGTGGTTTATTCTAGCTTTAGCACATATTAACTGCATGAACTTGGGCAAGGAACATAATTTCTTACATCCTCACTTCTCTTATCTATGAGAAGGATATTCACTACTTTATAGGATTATTGTGAAGCTTTGAGATGAAAGTGATTGGAAAATTTTTTTTTAACTAAACTAATTAGCACATAAATTATAGCTGTTATTATTGTTTTATTTTATATCTTATTCATTCTCTTGGATTGTTTGCTTTCTACTTTCTCTTTATCTCTGTGATACTCAAGGCTCAATTCTGATTTTTTTCCTTTAATATGACTGTCTTTTCATCCATTGACATTTTTTATATGAAATTGTTTTTGTTATTTAAGTAGAGTAGATATACAATATAATGTTAGTTTCAGGTGTACCATATCGTTATTAAACATTTATATATCTTACAATATGAACACGACAATTGACTTTAACGGTTATTTCCCTAAGTCCAAAACCTCTTTCAGGCATCTAAAATGTAACACCTTAATTATCTTTTATCTTTCTCATTACCTTGCCACTACTAACAAACACCCAAATTTATGTTCAGTCTTATCTTTATCCTTAGTCTTACAACCTAGGAATTCATTATAAACCAAACTCTTTCATGTTTTTCATATTGCTTATGTTATTTTTAAAAACTATTTCTTAAAACCTAGGAATAAACATCAAGATTTGAAGGGACGGTTATTGTATGTATTAAGTTTTGAATGAAAGCAGCACAAAGAATATACCATATTATAAAGAATACTTAATGTGAATTGGTGTTTAAGGAACAGAGGAATGGATTTAATTTCTTTTTATAGAGTTTTTATGATAATTAAATATGAAGTGTTAAGCAAGGTGCTTGGCATATAGCAAGTGTTACATAAATGTTAGCTGTTATAATTGTTATTGTGAAGCAGGGCCAGCCTTTGTTTATTGGCAGAGTAATGATTTGATGAGCATTAGAAGATTCTCCTTTCCCAAGAACGCCCATTATAGTTCCCTAATGTTCACTAATAAATATTTACAACTTTGGATTTAGGTTTTTTACCTTTGATGCTTCCCTGATAATATTAAGATAAATCTCTTGAAACTGAGGGTAATCGGGAGGGGCCTCTCAGGGGCTGATAATGTTCTATTTCTTAATCTGGTTGCTGATTACACATGTGTCACTTTGTGGAAATTCATCAGGCTTATGATTTATGTTATATTTTGCATGTATGTTATATTTTAATATAGAGTTGACCTAGAAAAAATAAATATAACCCAAGGAATTCTATATCCAACTTATCGGTCATTGATATATATTCATATGAATTATTTGTAAGTGGTTTTCATATTTTAGAGATTTTTAACCTGTTCAGCATGTGAAATATCTCAGCACACTAAATTCCTTCTAGGTGATATATATATATATATATATATATATATATATATATATTTATCATTATTGTTGAAAGTACTACAGATATCATTCCTGTTTTCCCACATTGACACCCTCCTTCTCGTCCCCAGCCCCCTAGGTGATATATTTTAATGACATTATTTGAATTACAGTTTAACTCAATATGAAAATTTATTTTAAGTTCTTCTGAAGTGGCAGATTTGGTTAAATTTATACATCCTTTAATGGTGTATATGTAATCCATGAAAACCTTAAGCTGTTAAACTAAATAAGATTGCTTTTCCTTAAGTTTCCCCATTAATATGTATTTGCTATGTATTCGCTATGTATTCATTCATTTTGTATTCTGCTAGGACCACAGACAAGCTGTAGGCACTCAAGGTGGCTTAAAAAAATGTATGGGAGAAAAAGATTGAAAATGTTCTACTGAAATCAGTTTTTAGCCAACTGTGAAAACACTGACATTATTTAGTTTTTAGCACTGGAACATTTTAGTTCCGTTCATCTTGATCTAAACAGGATTCCAGGGAGCATGGTTTAAAGAATATGGTTTTAAAGTATAGCTATTTCGCCCTGGCCGGTTTGGCTCAGCGGTTAGAGCGTCGGCCTGCGGTCTGGAGAGACCCGGGTTCGGTTCCCGCTAAGGGCACGTACTTCGGTTGCAGTTTGTCCCCGGCCCTGGTTGGTCGTGCGGGTGGCAGCCACTCGATGTGTCCCTTTCACATCGATGTTTCCCTCTCTCTCTCTTCCTCTCTCTCCCTCCCACTCTATCTGTACAAAAAAAAAAATGGAAAAATGTCCTCGGGTGAGGATAAAAAAAAAAATAAAATAAAATAAAAAAAAATAAAGTATAGCTATTTCTTTTTTTTCTCCTCAGAATTATACATACAGAAGTAAACTGGATTGTATTTTGGGTTTTTATTTGTAATAAAAAGACTTCTTTTTGTTAATCCTTACCCAAGAATATTTTTCCATTGATTTTTAGATAGAGTGGAAGGGAGGGAGAGGAGGGAAGGGGAAGGCAGGGCAGGGGAGGGGAGGGGAGGGGAGGGGAGGGGAAGAGAGAGAAGAGGAAGAGGAAGAGAGAAGGAAGAAAAGGAAGGGAGGGAGGGAGGGGAGGGGAGGGGAGAAACATCGAGCATTGATCAGTTGCCTCTCACAGGATGGAACCTGAAGCTCAGTTTTGTGCCCTTGACTGGGAATTGAACCCTTTGGTCTGCAGCAGATGCTCTAACTGCTGAGCCAAACCGACCAGAGCATATAAAGACTCTTTTAAACCATTTTAATTACTGGTTGTTGAAAAATGATTTATCACTCTGAAACATGCTCATATTTTTTATATCCAGGTATTTGGATGTTCCATCTTATAAAAGTCTGTGTCTGTATCTATTTTTAGATGACTTCAAACCTGCTTCTGTTGACACTTCTTGTGAAGGAGAACTTGAGGTTGGCAAAGGTGAACAGGTGACAATAACACTGCCAAATATAGAAGTGAGTATTTCTGTATATTTAGAATAAAGGGATATTTTTGTAAGATTTCCACTAAATTTAAATGAAATAATTATATAATTCATACAGTGATAGTCAGTTAAAGTAATTAATTAACACAGAGAAGCAAAACAAAAAAACCCTTTAGTTTAGGTGAAACAACCTTAAAATGCTTTAATCTATTTTAAAAGTTTCAACAGTTATATTAATGGTTTGAAACAATGTAAGTCTAAACAAATATTTATTAAATTACTTGTATAAGCCAGGTTTTGTACTCTAAACTAGGAATAATAACATATCCCCTGCCTTCTTGTCCTAATCTGTAATACCACAAAGACATGTAAACATCTAGTGCTATAAGATAGAGCATGTAGAAAATTCTGTGTAAGCACATAAGTGGAATCAAATACTCTGCCTAGTAGAATCTTGAAAGGCTTCCAAATAAGATGTTATTTGAGCTGAGCCTTAAAGGACAAGTAGAATTTCTTCAGGTAGAAAAGGAGTAGAATATTCCAGGAAGAAAAAATAGTATGTGAAAGACTAATGGAGAAAGAACAACAAGTTTGTGGAATAGATGAATTAATGTAGTACCGTACAGAATAATGAAAAATGATTAATAGGAGTAGAAACTGGAAAGGTGTAGGTTGGGATCAGATTGTGAATAATTTTTTATGTTGTAATATAGAATTTAGATTTGATTCCATAGGTATTAGAGAATTATTAGCTGATTTTGACACAGAGAGCTAACGTGAATAGATTTGTGCTTTTGGAGTGATTTTAGCAGTAGTTTAGGGAATGGGTTGGAAAAGATAGAGACTAAAGTCGGGGAAGCCTTAACCAAAGTTTTAAAATTTGATCATTTAAAAAATTTCCAAATGTATCCAAGTAACACTATCAAATACTATTTACATAACTATACAAGTTCTTTGTTACATACTCTAGTTTTCTCAGTCCTTGAGTACAAATTTTTTAGCATTCGGCTTAGTTCTTTTTTTCTTTTATACTGACTTGATTTATTCTCAGAGAAAACCAAGACTGTAACTTTAATATATAAAGAAAACACTGGACTTTCTGAGATTTTTTTTTTTCTTTGCTTTGTTTAATTTTTGTAATAGGAATGGTTTTGTTCTAGTTTATCCACATTTTTTGTGTGCTTGTATAAGATGACTTGTCATGGTTAGAGACGTAGCAAACAAGCTCTCTATCCTCTAGTCATCTATCTTTTTCTTACTTTTATCAGGCAAAACAATTTAATGAGATCCCACTATTACATCAGATTGTATCAGGTGATTGATGTCTTTGAAGTTTCCTAAGGTAAATTAAATTTGTGGGGGCTTTTTATTGTATATTTCTCATTTGCTCCCTTAGAAACTGGAGGAAATGAAAATCAATTTATTATGAGACACTGTGGATTTGTGTTACTTTGTATGATTGATTGTCTTATGAAAATATGTTCAGATTCTGGCATCTCTAAAATAGTTTGGAAATCTAGTATCCAATAATCTAAGGCTTTTTTGCCTTATGATATTTACTAAAGAAAAACCTAAACTACCCACTTAATTTTGAAAGTTATTTAAAAGCCTTAAATTGATAACAGGCACCCACTAGCCTAATCTTAGATTATAGGACTATTGATTAGTAATGATTGGCATGCAGAAAACCTTTAGTTAGGTTCTTCTTTGCCATGTAGAATATTGTTTTCTAAAATTGCAATTCCCCATCCTCATCACTCGCATTGCTTTTCTACTCCAAGCAGATGAGGATTCTTACATTTATTAATAAACTTTTTTCATTCACACAGATCATGCTTTAAACAAGAGTTACCATTCACCATGTCTTTGGTTATGGGCTCAATTGAAATACCTTCTAAGCAGCAATTTTCAACCTGTTGGGGATTGATGACCCTTTCACAGGGGTCGACTAAGACATAACAGTAGCAAAATTACAGTTATGAAGTAGCAACGAAAATAATTGTATGGTTGGGGGTCACCACAACATGAGGAACTGTATTAAAAGGTCATGGCATTAGGAAGGTTAAGAACAACTGGACAGCTGTAGGGGGAAATTTGCAAGTTTTCAAATTGTATGTTTCTGAAACAGCGAAGAAATCACTTGGGAAAAAGTGACTATCTTCCTACCCTAGCCCACCAGAAATATGTCCAAAAAGAATATGCTTCAATATTTGTGTGTGTGGATACATGTCCATGAGAAAAAGAGAGCAGGAGACAATATGGGCAGGCAGACCATATATAAATGTATCTTCTGTGTAATAAGTCCTGCATTAGGTAGCTATTGGGAATACAGAAGTAGATTAGACATGCCCAGTGTTCTAAAACATATTATTTAATGGGGAAGACAGGAAATAGAGGATTAAAATATAGAAGGACTATCATAAAGGTATATACAGAATGTTAGGAGAGGTAACTAAGCCAGGAGAGGGAGATGAGACAACAGGATGCTCTGTTTTGAAAGTGAGTTGAAGTTGCCTAGGTGAAGGAAAGAAGGAAGGATATTTTAGGCAGAGAAAAGAAAAAGATAAATGACAAAGCAACAAAAGAATCTGTTATATTTGAAGACCGGTGTAGAAGCTACTGTGGCTAGGTCAGAAGGGATGCATATGGGGACATAGTGGGAGGTGGAAAGGTATTTAGGAATCAGATAGTAAAGGACGTTTGTGTGTAATGCATAAGTGTTTAAACTTATCCTATAACTTTTAGACATTAAGAATGAAAGAATTGTTAAAATTACCACCTGTCAAGAGCAAATATTTTTTTCTGCTGAGCTTACTTACAGCCCTTAAACAATTGTGAATACTAATAGAATTACAATTTCAAATGAACTTTGTGAAATTTTTCTTCTTAATTAAAGAACTTGTTTAAACAAGTAGGAGGTTTATGTTTCTTCAGAGTTCTTCATTTTGTGAGTATTTTATGGAAATGTAGTGATTATTTGTTTGGGGCATTTAGATTCTCCTATTTTCTTTATGAATTTATTTTTATCATCATGGTAAAAATGCCTAGAAGTTTGGAGTCACCCCATAAAATAGAACAGTTTTAAGAAGGTTCTGCTGGCTCTTCAATAGGGTAGATTTTCTAATTCTTACTCCTCTAGTTTTTATGTTTGTTTGTTTTTGTGGGCTTTTTTTTTAAACGAATAAAAAAATAGACAGTTTAGCTAGTTAATATCGGGCATTATCTCTCTTCTTTATAAACAGTTCTGTATGGTTAACTGCTATAAAATCAGAAAATGTTGAATGTTGAAAGGAAAAGACTTATTTGACCATTACAATTTGTCATTAGTGCAGTCCAAGTTTGGTATATTTTTAGTGCTGACTGTCTTGGTGGGTACTTTTGTAGGCCTCGATGAAATAGCCCACTGGAAACTTCCAACTGTATTTTCTGTTACACAGGAAATGCATCTGTAATGGTTGCTTATGACTTTATCCCTCAAACTTTGGACATGTGAGAGTTCTTTATGTCTGGTGGACTATTATGCCACTCTATATGACCTTCTTGAGCAAAGTACCTTCCAGGATGAATCCAGTCTGATCCCTTTCATTAAGTTTACTTAGCTCATGTGGAAAAAGAGCCCACTACATTCTGGGGACTTCAGCCTATTTTAGTATCAGAATCCTATTTTAACAACTTGTTAGTTATATTTTTTTCATTTTATTTTTTATCCTCACCCAAGGATATTTTTCCATTTTTTGTACAGATAGAGTGGGAGGGAGAGAGAGGAAGTGAGAGAGAGAGAGAAACATCGATGTGAAGGGACACATCGAGTGGCTGCCACCCGCATGACCAACCAGGGCCGGGGACAAACTGCAACCGAAGTACGTGCCCTTAGCGGGACCCGAACCCGGGTCTCTCGGGACCGCAGGCCGACGCTCTAACCGCTGAGCCAAACTGGCCAGGGCTTGTTAGTTATATTTTTAAATGAATTATATATTTTGTCATTACATAATCAACCTTTTTATCCTGTTTTGGTGATTTTAGTCATAAATGCCATCTTATCTGATATTAATATTGCCACCTTTGCTTTCTATTTGCATGTTTGTTGAATCTTAATTCTCTTCCTTTTATGTAGCTGACATTTTATTTTAAGTATATCTTTTGTTAACCGAATATTATTTTATTTTTAAACCCAGTTTGACACATTCTATTTTTACTAGGAAAAATTATATCCACATTTAATTCAAAGTTGAAATACTTGATTTTTGTTTCTATTATTTTGAAGTGGATTTATTGGTTATTTTAATTTATTTCCTCTTTTTTGTTCTTTATTTAGTTTCAGGCATCTCTTCTTTCTTTCCTCATGTTACTTTAGGAATACTGTTGTACTTTTCTATTCCATTACTAATTACTTTCCATTACTTTCCTTTCTTGGTATTCATAATCAGGCATGATCCAATTTGCCTGTCATCAGATAAGAAAAACTAGAAGGAGACTATGGAGGAAAATTACAGTAATCTAGGTGAGATGATGATAATTGGGTTCAGAGCTGGGTAACAGCAGTAAACATGGAGATGATAAGATATATTCAGTAGTTATTTAGAGGTATCCTGGCGGGTAAGGATCGGTTGGAGCATCGTCTCATACACCAAGTGGTGGCAGGTTCGATTCCTAGTCAGGGCATATACCGGGTTTCACGTTTGGTCCCAAGTGAGGACATGTATGGGAGGCAACCAGGCTTGCTCTCTCTCTCTAATCAGTTTTTTTAAAAGTTATTTAGAGGCAAGGATAGTTCATATGCTTAGGAATTTCTTGGTACTTTAACACCCCTTTCTTGGGTATGGAATAAGATACTGGGCAGAAATTAAAGTTTAAAATAAGAGTTGTACATTTGAAATCTGTATCGTTTTGCAAACCAATGTCATCCCATAAATTCAATAATAAATAAATAAATGCCAATAAGCATATGAAAGAATGTTCAACATCACTAATCATCAGAGAAATGCAAATTAAAGCCACAATGAGATATCTCCTCACACCTGTGAGAATGGCTATCATCAATAACTCAACAAACCGCACTCAACAAACCACAAGTGTTGATGAGGATGTAGAGAAAGGGGAACCTTTGTGCACTATTGGTAGGAGTGCAGAAAGCAGTATGGTATTATCTCAAAAAATTTAAAATGGAACTACCTATGACCCAGCAATTCCACTTCTGGAAATATATCCAAAGAAACCTGAAACACTAATTCGAACAAATATATGCACCCCTGTGTTCATTGCAACATTATTTACAATAGCCAAGATTTGAAAGTAGCCCAAATGCCCATCAGTAGATGAGTGGTTAAAAAAGCTGTGGTACATTTGCACAATGGAGTACTACTCAGCCCTAAAAAATGAAATCTTACCTTTTGCAACAACATGGATAGACCTGGAGAGTATTATGCTAAGTGAAATAAGCCAGTCAGAGAAAGACAAGTACCATATGATTTCACTTATATGTGGGATCAATGAACAAAATAAACTAACAAAGTGGAGACAGACTATGGATACAGGGAACAGACTGACAGCTATCAGAGGGGTGGGGGGTTGAGGGTTGGATGAGAAGGGTGAAAGGATTAAGCAAAAAAAAAAAAATACTCATGGACACAAATAATAGTATGGTGATTACCAGAGTGAAGTGAGAGTGGGGGGAAGGTAGAAGAAGGTAAAGCGGCAATAAATGGTGATGGAAGGGACTTGACTTGGGGTGATAAACACGCAATACAATATATAGATAATGTATTGTAGAATTGTATACCTGAAACCTATGTAATTTTATTAACCAATGTCACCACAATAAATTCAATAAAAAAATAGTAAGATGAAAATTATATCTTAATCACCACCAAAATGTTGTCAACTATATTTCTGTCCCTTTCTAATTTTCCAAAGTCAACGAAATGTATCAATGACTCCCCCCAAAATAAATAAGAGTGGTGCTCAGTTTCATAAGGAAATAATGTTTAATTTTTAAAAACTTGTTTAAAGTGTAAAAGACAGATATAGAGACTATGAAAGTCTTATTTAACTTGTTAATTATGATAAAAAATGTTCATCTTGTTTGTATTCAACATTCATGGAGTATCTGTGAAGGGCTTGGTAGTTGAGATGCTAGGAGCAACAACAACAAAAATATAATCTATTCCTTAGTTTTTAGTACAATAATGTATAGTGATTTTAAGATGTATTCTATTCTAAGTAATACAAATATCTTTAAGAAGAATATATTGCATGAATCTCTTATCAACTGTAATTTGGAGTCCTTGGGTTGCTATTTTGGGGTGTCATAGTCACTTGTTTTCAGCCAGCACATTTGAAAAATATACTTGCCAGCCAAGTAGGCCCAATTTCTTTTGTAATGATCGTGTTTCTGGCTCTTCACTTTACTAGTGCTTTACCTAAGTGCTCCACATGTCACTCTTGTAAGGCCACTCCAGACATGTCCTCATCTGTGTGCTATGCATGCTTGATTTCTTTGGTCTTAAAGGTGAGGTGAAAACCTTTTCTTATTTTTTTTGTTTTGTTTTGTTTTGTCATTTTCTCTCCCTATCTCACAGAAATCTCTAATCTACCCCCCATTTATGGTATCCTCAATCACCAAATTTATCTCATACTATTTCTTGTGGTCACATGTTAAATCTCTAATGATTGTTGACTTTTAAAATATCATATACCCTTTAGTTTTTTTAGAAGTCACTGTTTTCTAACCTAATCTTACTGTTGTATTTAACAAAATTGTTATAATCAGTGCTTTAAAATTTTAATGCACTTTTATAAAGTTCAAAGAAAAGCAAACATAACACTTTATTATTTAGGGATACATATAGTATATGGAATAAAGTTAGAGGATGATAAACATAAAATTCCTTCAGGATTGAGCAATGCAGATGAAGGAGGGAGGAGGAGCTCATCGGTCATTAGTAATAATCTAGGTTTCTTTAACCTTTTATTATGGAAAATAAAATAGTATAATGAACCCCCATGTAATCATCATCAAGCTTCAATAATTACTAACATTTTCTAATCTTTTTTATATATGTTCTCCTACTATTCTTTTTTTTTTTTTTTTTTTTCGTCAGAGACAGAGGACGGAAGAGGGAGAGAGAGAGATAGAAACACTGATGAGAGAAAGTATCGATTGGTCGCCTCCTGTATGCCCCCACTGGGGATTTGGCCCACAACCTGGGCATATGCCCTGACCAGGAATCGAACCAGCAACCTCTTGGTGCATGGGTCCATGCTCAACCACTGATCCACACAGCTGGGCTCTCCTACTATTCTTGCCTGGTATATTTTAAAGCAATCCCAGAAATGCAGACTGGTACAGCCACTGTGGAAAACAATGTGGTGTTCCTCAAAAAATTAAAAATTGATCTACCATTTGACCCAGTGATACCAGTTCTAGGAATATATCCTAAGAAGCCTGAAACACCCATCAGAAAGAATATATGTACCCCTATGTTCATAGCAGCACTATTTATAATTGCTAAGATCTGGAAACAGCTCAAGTGTCCATCAATAGATGAGTGGATAAAAAAGCTGTGGTACATATGCACAATGGAACACTATGCAGCTGTCAGAAAGAGAGGTCTCTTATCCTTTGAGATGACATGGAGGGACCTGGGGAGTATTATGCTAAGTGAAATAAACCAATCAGAGAAAGACAAATACCACATGATCTCACTTATTTGTGGAATATAATGAACAAAATAGACCCAGAGACCTAGACAGGACTATGGATCAGACCAACAAATCTCAGAGGAGGGGTGTGGGGGGGCTGGATGAAATAAACTAAAGAACTTATATGCATTTATCCATTACCAATGGACATAGACAACAGTGCCAGGGAAGTGGGAAGGGTGTCTAGGGGAGAAAAAGAAGAAATATCTGTGACAAAAATAAATTCATAAAAATTACCCCCCCAAAAAAAGAAAAGAAACCAAAAATAAAGCAATCCCTTTTCATAAATGTTTATGCATGCATTTCTAACTGATTTTTTTTTAACCTAAGTACCATGCTGTTATCACAGGTAACAGAATTAATTATAATACCAGGTCCATAGTCACATTTTCATGATGGTCTCAAAAATGTATTTTTAAAGTTTTTCCCCTAGGAATCTAAATAAGATTTTTATAATATTTTGACATTATGTTTCTTAAGTCTCTTTTGTTCTGTAAAAGTCCCTTCTTTTTATACCATTAGTTTATTAGAGAAACCAGGTTATTTGTCTTAGAGAATATACTGACATTTTGGGTTTCAAATTACTTCTGTCTGGTATTATTTAACTTCCTTTATTCTTCAAATTTCCTGTAAACTGGTAGTTATATTTAAAGGCTTGATGAGCCCGGGCAGTATGGCTCAGTGGTTGAGCATTGACCCATGCACCAAGAGGTCGCCTGTTCAACTCCCGGTCAAGTTACATGCTCAGGTTGTGGGCCTGATCCCAGTGCAGGGCATGCAGGAGGCAGCCAGTTGATGTTCTCTCTCTCTCATTGATGTTTCTATCTCTCTCTCCCTCTTCCTACCTCTCCCTCTCTCATATCAGTAAAGAAAAAAATTTTTTTAATTAAAAGTCTTGATGAGAGATTCTTTATGGGGTTTTTTGTTTGTTTGTTTTATTTGTTTTTAGCAAGACTGCTTTATAGATGGTGCTGCATGCTTTCTTTTATATTACATCATGAAGCATATAATGTCTGGTTGTCCCACTTTTAATGATGCTAAAATTAATCAGTAGGTTTAGTATAACAGGTGTTCCTTGGTACATTCATTTTCCTTAATCTGCATAGAGAGGCCCCACTTGAAGAAAATACAGATTTTAAAAGACTAAACTTATGAAGCAGGAAGAGAGGTAGGAAATATGATTCAGTGCTTGTGCTCTCTTATCTGTAAAAAATATTGGTTGTATTAGAATTGAATCCTAATTACCTGTTGTAGACCAATGAACAAATCTTTACTAGCTCAAGGAAAGTACTCTCTATTCCCTTTCCTCGAGTATAGCAGCTTTAAGATCTCAGTCTTTCTTCATCTCTGAAGTTTTACTAAATTTAGGTAGTTAGGTGACTTGAAGTGTAACATAGATGGAGAAACACAGAGGATCTCAAAGTCCCTCCCAACTGAATTTATATGATAAATTTCAAGTAATGATAATTAACTTTTTAAACAGGGATCAACTCCACCAGTAACTGTTTTCAAAGGTTCAAAGAAACCTTACTTAAAAGAATGCATTTTGATAATTAACCATGATACTGGAGAATGTCGACTAGAAAAACTAAGCAGCAACATCACTGTAAAAAAAACAAGGTATGTGGTTAACAAAACAAATTATTTTATCGGCACATAATTTACTAAGGAAATGCCAGTGAATAAGTTATTTTATTAAGTCACATGATTATGTAAGGGTTATTTCTATGTAATACAAAAAGTTTAAACCTTTGCCAAGTTAAGATTTGGTGAAGAACCTCAGCCAAGAGCTTGTACCATTTCTCTCTATAATATATGAGAGTTTGTTTTGTTTTTTAATATATTCTACATGTGTAGATATATCTTATTGTATTGTAGATGTTTACATAGAACTGGACTGAAAGGAACCATTATATATTCTTCAGTATAATTTCATCTTCATTAGTAAAAGTTTATTGAGCACTAGAATACGTAAAGCACTTTGAAAAGGAAGGTTTTTGATATAAGTACCAACCTCAAAACTTCCGCACTTTAATTGGATTAACATTTGATTTTTTTATTAGGGAAGTCAGTAAGAGAATACAGGCATCTCATATCCTTTTTCGGAAATAGGCAGGTGCATTAATTGCTATGTAATATAAAGGACTTTCTCTAAAAGCCATGCAAATAGTAAAGATAAACATTGCTCTTGGAATTAAAGGAAGGGAAAGATGGTTGATTGGAGCATTCAGGAAGCCCTTATTGATGTAACTTGAGAGGAGGTTAAGATTTAGGGCTTTTGTCCCCCCAAAACATAATTGATAAGAATTACCTTTAGTGGTTGTTAAATATAAGAGTCCCCGGGTTATTTTTATTGGTAGAAAAGTTTGAAAATTACTGATTTAATTGATCAGAGAGAACATGAGGATGTAAGCAAGGTTTGAAGGTAGGACTATATCTGACTTATTTGGGACCAATGAATAAGACCTGTTTGAATAGAGCAAAACTTTATCTCTGTGCCTGCATATAAATAAGTATTGGAAAGTGAGGAGTGAAGCTGATAGTGGATTAGAAGTAAGGTCATAAAGGTAGGTTAAAGCTAATGCTTTCAATATTAACTATGAAATTAGGATGTCTTAAGGGCTCCATTGGCAGTATTAAATGTATTAATTTTTTTAACTAGGCATTAAATTTTTTTATTAAAATATTTTTGTTTTGAAACATTAATACACCAAACAGAGTAAAGTGAAACTGCGGGAAACATACATAAACCATAATTTTGAGAGTAGGAATGAAGAGAAAAGTGAGGTGCTAAATACTTTATGAGGGAAGAACTGACAGGATTTGGTGACTGGTAATGGGAGAGGCAGAAAAGTCAAGCATAATTATGTTATACACTCTTCTTAAAAGTATTGAAAGGAAAGAAAATGCCTCAAACTCAGCTGGTGTGGCTCAGAGGATTGAGCAGTGTCTCATGGACTGAGAAGTCCTGGTTCAACTCCCAGTCAGGGCACATTGCCTGGGTTGTGTACTTGATCCCCAGTAGGGGGTGTGCAGGATGTTTCTATCTCTCTCCCCATCTCTCTAAAAAAAATCAATAAAAACATATTTTTAAAAAAGAAAAAAGAAGATGCCTCAAAGTTATGAATGAAAAATGTGGAAGTGACTTAATTTTAACAGAAATGATAAATTTTAGAATTTAGGGAATATATTGTACCTATTGTACACTTAGGTATATTTTAATTTAGGCATTTGTATATGTCTTATCACTTCAATTCTGAGCAGTGGTTTTGTTTTTATTCACATTTGCATCCCTCAGTGAAACTGAGTATGTGCCACACATGCACATATAGCAGGCTCCAGAAATATTTGTTAAATAATGAATTAAATTAGTGTTTTAATTCTTGAATGCCGTTTACAGATGTCTAGGGAAAAGAATAAGTGGTCGACTTTAGTAGTTCTGTAAGTTGAAATTGTTGTTACATTGCCATCATGCCTATTTTGACCTTTGATATTCTTAATTGCAGAGTTGAAGGAAGCAGTAAATTTCAGTCTCATGTAGAGCATCAGCAGCAACAAATGCGGAATTTAACTAGAACTCCCAATCTTGTAAAAGATTCTCCATCCGAAGACAAGATGTCCCCAACATCTCCAATGGATGATATTGAAAGAGGTAAAATCTAAGTGTATGTAATGTTCCTTTACAAGAAATTATTAAGAATAAGTGAAATTTTTCATTTTAATTAACAAGAAAACTAACTGTAAAGTTTTATTAGGAGCATAGTATTTTTTATTATTATGGTTTTGGGGGGGTTAAGAGTATAGTTTGTGATTTAGGGTATTATGTAATTATGTATCTGTACAAGAGAATTTGTGTCTTCTTTTATTATTCAGGGGAGGGAAATTGTTTAGTAACTGGAGTGTGTGTAACTGGAGTTTTTTCTTTTTGACAGTTGTGATGATTCAAATTCAGTTCTCCACAGCATCTTCCTGTCGAAGTTCTTTTTGCATAGCCAGACTATAGATGTCTAAGATGTCACCAAAACAATAGTGAGGTGAGGAGATATAGTAAGTGGAAGCAGCCAGCAAGTTCTTCTAAATTGCTGCTCACTTCTCAGCAGAAAGGTGTTTCTAGGGAGGCACAGTCCTTTTGACAGTAAGGAAATTTCCGTTTGTTTTTTCTTTCTAGCTGCAGTTTTGGTGTTAGTGTAATAGTAATTGTGGTAGGAGTAAGACCTGGTCACCAAAGTATATTTGCTTCTGCACTTTTCCTTCATAATTTATATACAGCAATCCAATTCCACTTGCCTCCTTCTAGGCCCAGTATAGTATTAGTCCCCTAATATATTAGTGTTCCCTCTAATAACAGTAAGGAAGATAGAATGCTCGAACCCTTGTTGCTGAAAGGGATTTCAAATTTTATTATATGTGCTTCCAAAATGGATTCAAATCATGTCATTAATCTACATGTATACTGTAAAATACTGGAAAAGAAAATCATGGTATTAAAGGGTAAGAGGAAGCAAATTTGTTAATTAATAAAATATTAAATTTAGATCTGAGCTTTCTAGCCACTAACACAAAAATAAAGACCTAAGTAGCATATTTTGTATTATCTAAGAGATGAAAGAATTTGACTCCTCTCTGTTGCTAAATTCTAAAAGGAGTTCATCATATGGAACCTGTTCTAGGAAGTATTAAATGATATAGTATCTTCAACAATAATTTTACAATACAAGATGTTCCCCCATGTGTGGGTTTTTTAGCAGAGACCTTAATAAAAGCTTTGTATTGAAACATTGTATTGTAGAGGATAAGTTAACATGACCCAACCACAAGATCTAATATTGTATAAGAATTTACATTAAGATGTTTATATATAGCCTGTTCCTTAGATGGTCTTCTTTTACATATTTTCTGGACCCTACTCTGCCAGTGCCTCCTGCTGTGGTTGAATCATATTTTCAGATTTCTGTCTAGATTATGGCACATCTAGATAGTGCCAGACACTTTTGCTGATCTGAAAGCTATTTTTATCACATGCAAAATTTCTATATGGACTTGTCAGTTTCACAACATAAAATATACATTGGTTAATAAATATAGGGTGGGGCAAAAGTAGTTTACAGTTGTGAGTATGCAAAACAGTTTATTCTTGTAATATTATTAATTATTGTATTTTTTATATGAATAACTGTAAATCTACTTTTGCCCAACTTGATATATAAAAAATTGATCAAACTCACTAATACTATTAAATGCAAACTTTAAGATTATAGTCGTCCCTCCCCACTTCACTTCGACTTTCTTGGCTTCACTCTATCGCGGTTTTTTCAAATATAAACCGCGATAGAGTGAAGCCGCGAAAGTCAAAGCACAAAGTGGTGAGGGAAGACTGTATAGTAAATCAAGAATTCGGAATAGAAAAGATGGTGGTGGGCAGGACTGGAGGGAGGGTGAGTGCCTGAGAGAGTGAGCTAGTGTGTGAGAGAGAGTGAGTGGACATGAACATGGACAACCAAACTCATGTAGTGCAGAGACACGGAGCAGCAGGTTCCTGTGCTGTGGATGGGAGCAGCTGGCTACCACAGTAAGTGGCTCTTCAGGGTGCTTCTCCCGGTGCCACGGGGAGGTCCTACCATTTTTGAAGATTCCAGGTCTTCCCTGGGAGGAGGCAGTGGGAGCAGCTAGGGCCCAGTAACCTGAGCCCATCAGTGCACCTGGCACCATCAGACCAGTGGACACCCTGTGTCAACACAGTAGCAGGACTGTCAAGATGCTGGTTGCAGAAACCGCGAATGGCTGGGAGCCCAGCACCATCCCCAACAGAAGCAGCCTGATCAGAGTCGAGATATACTCCCAGCAACAGAGGCTAGGAGCAGACATCCATCCCCAGGCAACAGAAGCACAGACCAGCAGCAGAGAACCATCCCCAAACACTACAGCGAAGGCTGAGCAGAAGCTGAGCCCCACTGGGCAGCAGCACTCCCCAGCCACCAGCAGCAGGACCTGGGGCTCTATAGGGAACTGTGCAGCACAGCTGCACACAAGAGCGGTGGGAAGCTGGGGATTCATAAGGGCCTGTGTGAACCAGCGGCCCACAAGAGCAGTGGGAAGCCAGGGATCCAGAGGGACCTGTGTGACTCAGCAGCCCACAAGAGTGGTGGAAAGCCGGGGATCCATAGGGACCTGTGCAACACAGCACCCCACAAGAGTGGTGCGGGAACAGAGACCCATAGGGGCCTGTGCAACACAGCACCCCACAAGAGCAATGCAGAACCAGGGATGCAGAGGGACCTGTGTGACCCAGTAGCCCAAGGTGTGGGCAGAGAGTGTAGCTCCAGCAGGGCCTGAGCAATACAGCTACAGGTGGCACCAGCAAACAGCTGGGAACACAGACTCAGAGGGGCCCACACAATCCAGCAGCAGCACCTACCAGCCCCCAGTAGTCAATCCTCCAGCATCCACCGTAGGCAAGAGGCGACACACAACAGAACAGGCTAGGAGGCACAGTAGCTTTATTTGATATACAGTGAGCTGCCTATACGTCCAAACATTCTTCTCTGGGTCTAGAGCTACCAGACAGCTAAAATGGGGAAACAAAGAAACCACCCAAAAGAAAGAAAAAGAGGAATCACAAGAAAAGGAATACAGGAAAAGGAAGAAAGCAACTTGTCAGATAAAGAATTGAAAGCAGTGATTTTAAGGGTACTCAAACAATTTGGTGAGAACTACAAGCAACTTAAGAATTATGAAGAGCTCACTGGGAATTACTTCAGCTTAAAAAAAAGAGGTAGAAGCTACACATAAAGAGGTAGAAGCTATGCATAAAAATCAAGAGGAAATAAAGAATGACATAGCTGTTATGAAAAATACCTTAGAAGGGTTCAATAGTAGATTAGAAGAAGCTGAAGACTGAATCAGCAACTTAGAAGACAAGGTAGAGAAAAACACCCAAATAGAGCAGCAAATAGAAAAAGGTTTACAAAGCAGGAGAAGAGTTTAAGGGAACTATGGGGCAATACAAAATGTAATAACATTCACATTATAGGGGTACTGGAAGGAGAAGAATCAGGGAGTGGCATGTAGTTTACAAAGTAATGCAAGGCAAGGGTCTGAATCCAAGACTACTCTATCCAGCAAGGCTATCATTCAAAATTGAAGGAGAAATAAAGAGTTTCACAAATAAAAAAAGCTAAAGGAATTTATCACCACCAAACCAGCACTGCAAGAAATGCTGAAGGGACTGTTGTAAGAAGAAGAAACAGAGAGAGAGAGGAACACAGGCATAAGATTAAACTAGAAACTAATAACTATCTATCAATAATTACCTTAAATGTAAATGGCTTAAATGCTCCAATCAAAAGACATAGGGTAGCTGATTGGATAAGAAAACACGACCTATATATATGCTGTCCACAAGAGACCCACCTCACAACAAAAGACTCACACAGGATGAAAGTGAAGGGATGGAAAATATTTTCCAAGCAAATGGAAATGAGAAAAAAGCTGGTGTAGCAATACTCATACCTGACAAGAGAGACTTCAAAATGAGGGCCATGAGAGACAGAGAAGGACACTACATAATATTAAAAGGATCAATCCAACAAGAGGATATAATCCTGGTAAACATATATGCACCAAATACGGGAGCACCAAATATATTAAAACTTCTGGAGGACTTCAAGGGAGAGATCAATAGCAATACAATTATACTGGGTGACTTTAACACGCCACTGACAGCACTGGATAGATCTTGTAGACAAAAAATTAACATAGAGTCCTTACAAGACAAACTAGATCAGTTGGACTTCATTGATATTTACAGAACATTTCACCCCAAAGCTGCAGAATATACATTCTTCTCAAGTGCACATGGGACATTCTCAAAGACAGACCACATGTTATGACACAAAGCAAGTCTCTACAAATTCAAGAAGATTGAAATCATATCAAGCACCTTCTCAGATCACAATGGCATGAAACTAGAACTCAATTACAATAAAAACACACAAAGACATTCAAACACTTGGAGGCTGAATAGCATGTTATTAAACAACGAATGGGATACTAACAAGATTAAGGAAGAAATTAAAAACTTCCTAGAAACCAGTGAAAGCGAACACACAACTACACAAAATTTATGGGACACAGCGAAAGTAGTCCTGAGAGGGAAGTTCACAGCACTACAGGCCTACCTCGAGAAACAAGAAAAATTCCTAATTGATTTCTAACCCTACAACTTAAAGAATTAGAAAGTAAACAAAAAGAAAAACCCAGAGCTAGTAGGAGGAAGGAAATAGTAAAGGTCAGAGCAGAAATAAATGACATAGAGACCAAAAAAACAATTCAAAATATCAATGAAACAAAAAGCTGGTTCTTTGAAAAGATAAACAAGATAGATGGACCTTTAGCAAGACTTATCAAGAAACAAAAAGAGCCCTAGCCGGTATAGCTCAGCAGTTAGAGCATCGGCCTGTGGTTCACAGAGACCTGGGTTCGGTTCCCACTGAGGGCATGTACCTTAGCTGCAGTTTGTCCCTGGCCCTGGCTGGGTCGTGCAGGTGGTGGCTACTCGATGTGTCCCTTTCACGTCAATGTTTCTCTCTCTTTCTCCCTCCTGCTCTATCTGAATAAAAATTGGAAAAATGTCCTCAAGTGAGGATAAAAAAA